CCTAATAGAGCAAATTCGCCAGGAAAATTCTCAAGCTACTGATTTGTTGGCAATACATTCAAAGCTGGATAGAGGTGAGCTGCTGGATAATAATATCTCTTGCAAGGATGGCTTGTTGTTCCACAAACAGAGATACTTATTGAGCTCCACATCAACTTTGAAGAATGTATTACTGGAGGAGGCTCATTGTTCATTGATGGGAGGTCATGCTGGATGCCTACGCACATTCTTGAGACTATCAAATTCCTTTCATTGGCCTCGTATGAGATTGGATGTCAAGAATTTTGTGCAACAGTGTGCTGTTTGCCAATCCGTGAAGGCAATAAATTCTCCACCTGCTGGCCTTCTTCAGCCTTTGCCCATACCTGAAGCAGCCTTTGATGATCTAACTCTTGACTTTATAACAGGTCTCCCATTATCCAAGTGATTTACTGCAATCTTGGTGGTTGTAGATAGACTCACGAAGTATGCCCACTTTGGAGCTCTACCATCAGCCTTCACTGCAGCAATGATGGCCCAATTGTTTGTTGAAATCATTGTTAAATCTCATGGCTTCCCAAGATCATTGGTGTCTGACCGTGACAGTATTTTCTTGAGCCAATTTTGGCAGAATCTCTTTCGCTTAAGTGGCACCAAACTGCATATGAGCACAGCTTATCATCCCCAATCGGATGGTCAAAGTGAGGTCACAAACCGTTATTTAGAGCAATATCTTAGAGCCTATTGTTCAGAACAACATACATCTTGGTCTTCACTTCTTCCTTGGGCTGAATTCCATTACAATTCAGCTGTGCATTCTTCAATAGGGATGTCACCCTTTCAGGCATTATATGGTCGGTTGCCACCATGCATTCCTCATTATCCACGTGGTTTGTTGAAACTAGAAGCAGTGGACACTATATTGGCTGATCGTTCCACCTTATTGGCTCATCTAAAGCAAAATCTTATACGAGCTCAAAACAGAATGAAGGTCATTGCAGATAAAAAACGTCAAGATCGTTCATTGGCAGTAGGAGATTATGTTTTAGTAAAGCTGCAACCGTACAGACAGATATCAGTAGCCAAACGTTCCAGCCACAAATTGGCCAAGCGTTTCTTTGGTCCGTTTCAAGTAGCAGCTTCAGTAGGCCCAGTGGCCTATCGAGTTCAACTGCCGGAAGGATCATGTTTCATATTTCTGTGTTGAAGAAATTCTATGGAGATCCTTCAACATCCACCCTTCAATTGCCTTTGGAGTCCATTGATAACCGTCCTGTGCAGTCTCCAATAGCTATACTTGGTAGCAAGCTGGATCAAGGCAAACGTAAGAATCAACGCAAGATCCTTGTGCAGTGGTCACAGGCTGTCCCCGAAGATGCGACGTGGGAGTTCGAAAGTGAGTTACGGAGAGCTTATCCCACTATAGACCTTGAGGACAAGGTCTCAGTTATTGGGGGCGCAGTGATACAGATGGAAAGAAGACTACTCATTTACGTGGTGCACCATCTTGGGCACGTGACTACACCTAAGGAAATCAACGTGGCAGTACAAAGTCTTGTAATACAGTCATTGGGAGTTGTAGGGACTCACATGTAATAGATACATGTGTATAGGAAGATATAAATAAAAAGACATACTGTTGTAAAAGGGGATATATGAATAATACACAAATTCTTTTGTTTTTCTGTGAAACACTTTCTCTGTTCTGTCTTTGCAATCCCTAGATTGCAACATAATCACATCACTTTCATACATTACATGCCTTACACACCAGAGTCGCAGTCTGATTGTGTAAGTAATCAACACCACTTTTATACATTACCTCGACAGTTAATTTAACACATCTCAGGCATATATCAATGCATATTCATCTTTCATAAAAGCATACATGCATATAAACCACCCTCCCATGGAGGTCGGTGGAACAAGCAACAAATCAATCTGAGGACACGAAAGCTTACCTCGCAAGCTAACTATCAACAAGAGTCCAACTAAACTCAAAGTCCACAAACAGCAGAATCACAATCTGTTTTAGACCAACAATCATATCAACAATCATGATCTACAAGCATATGACATAAAGGCCATATTTTTCTTTTACGTTTTATGTCTTTAGGCTTCTCACAAAGCCATAAGCCCTTAATCACTTTGATTCTAACTTAGTTAATTATTACAGAGGTTCAACTTAACCAATCATGGGTCCATAAACCCATAATACAGTTCTGTCTGCACATAACCGTCACTGTCTCAAAATTCCCAGAATATCCAGATATTTGTCGGGGGCATATCCGGTTATACATATCCGTATATCTCTAACCCCATATCCGAATATCAGTATCCGGATATTTCCAACCCCATATCCGGATATTTCGCGACAGAATGCAGTTTTTGCATTTCGCGAGATATCACTCCCAAGGTTCCATTTTTAACACATTAAAACGTTAAAGCACACATCTTTAAACCCCTTTAGGTTAGTGATCATGTTAGTTACTTAGATAACTCATTAAACATGCCAAGACTCCACTTTTAACCAATAAAACTCATGATCAAAGGTGGTGAAGCTTACCCAAGGGTTCAAAACAGAAAAGGAATGCTCTTGGAGCTCTCAATGCAGCTCCCAAGGTTCAGACTTCAATATGCACAAAAATAGAACACCAAGAAGGGTTCTTTCTCTTCAAAGATCACTCATTGAAGCTTCAACACTCAAGGAAATGGTTTCCACAACTCTTACCAATGAACTCAGCTCTCACACCTCCAAAACAAAGGCCAAACTCAGAAAGGAAACACCTTACACTTTCTCAAGTCCAAAGCACATTCACACAAGGAGATTTGATGAAGAAACCAAGAGGAAATGTGGCCTCTTGGCTCACAAAGTGGAGAGGAAGGGGTGGCAAGGGTGGCTGACTCCACACTTCAGAATTTCTCACGTAGGAAGGCACAAAATGACCTAGGATCATGTGCCAAGTCTTTATATAGCCCATTTAAATTTTAATCGCACTGTATTTGCGCTAATAGCTACGCTTAGCATTTTAATCCCAAACTTTGGATTCTGAACCTAGCCATTTTTCTAAGATTTATCATATCTTTATTTTATATTTAGCAGTACCTTTCCGGTACGCGCTTTTACTTAGCCAGTATCAGTTCTGACACCAGTACTCATTATTTTAACTTGAAACTTGTTATACTAGTCCTATATATTATTCTAGTGACATATACATACTTTTCATAATTTTCCGGGATACTTCATCGGTACGCATTTATACCGTGAGGCAGAACCGATATCTTCACTTTTTGTTAGAAAAGCGACTTTCATCATTATTAATCAATTACCATAATTATTTAAGTTTTCTCATACTTATTAGGGTCAATTATGGAATTATCTAATTATTCTCATAATTAATTAATTAAATCCCTAAATTAACGGTGCGGGTTCTTACCTATGTAGCACCGATACGACACGCGACACGTGACACGACACGACACGACACTCCGACACGTCAATCCTAAAAAATTATGTATTTCGACACGTTGGGACACGTTTTAATATTAAATAATATTTTTAATTTATATAGTGTATATTTCATTTAATATTTAATAATTTAACAAAAAAAAAGAAACTAAATTAATAATACCCATCAACACGTTATAAAAATGGAAGCTTTAATAAAAAAAATAAGATCTCGGATGAGAGAGAGATATATATAATATCAGATAGAGAGATCAGAGAGAAGAAGATACAACAAGAGCGTGATAGGAATCGACAACAATAATGCTGAGATGATCTCTTATCTACTTAAGGGGAAAAAAGACAAAAAAATAAAATTGATATGATCAGGTGACTTTATTAATATATTTTAACTTTAAAAAAAAAATTTAAAAAAAATTTAAAAAAAAATTAAAAAAATTACGAAAATGCCATTTGACCGTGTCGGACACGGTCAAATTCGCGTGTCGGAATGGTCAACGTGTCGGAAAAAGTCAACCGCGTGTCGGAACGTGTCGGACCCGACTCTTCCTGTTTTTACAAGTGTCTGTGCTTCCTTGGTTCTTACAGTTTCCTGTACTAGCCGGATGTTTCGTGTATACTCATGAAGTTATCTGGTTCATTTAGCGATACCCACTGATGAACTACACGTTTTTCATTCCCAGATTTAAATGTTGTTGTCTCTAGCAACTGATTTAAATCTAAAAAAATCGCATTGAGAGTTAAGAACTAGTGGATTCCTCTGAAACAACATCAATAAAAACTATCAGTCATTAGTGCTAAAATACCATACTGCATCACATGGTTATCTCATATCATAAAAAAACAATAATAATCTCAAATAAAAGAAAACTGAAATAAAACATGAAAATAGCTAAAGTGATCAGTCATCAAGCTCCTCGTCCTCTACATCTCGCACAATGGCGGGTGTCATGTCGGTATCCTCTCCAGCATCATCATCCTGTCCCTCAGTAGCTGGATACGTGCTGGTCCCTCTTAGTACGGCGTCATAGGCATCCTCCTCCTCAGATCCATTATAAGGCTCGGGTCGGAAAGCTGGTGGTCCTCTTTTTAACTATCACTTGATCACATTAGTCTCTATCTAATTTTTTTGTATTTTCTTATTTGATTAACGAAAAGTGAAATAACTAAAATAGAAAAATTAAAAATAGTAAAGTGTTGTGTTGCCTCCCAATTAGCGCTTGTTTAATGTCACGAGCCTGACGTACCTGACTTGTGATCACGGTGGCTCAAAGCATGATCTTGGTGATGACCAAGCTCCATCATTCATAAATTATGTCCTACCATAGTGCTCTTCTGCATATGGATGAGGTAAAGTAGTCTCAGGAACTTTGAACTTGACTTTTACATGCTTTCCTTTACTACTGGGCTTTTCCATCTTAACTTTTGGCTTACTTTCTTGAGAAGACTCCCCATTGTGCTCTTCTTTATCATTCCTTTCACCAATATAGAAGACTTGATCTTTCGGTTGAGCTACATGTGGGGAAACTTCTTTGTCAAAGAACTTGAATATTGCTTATTCTCCGTCTACCCGTAAGATAAACTCATCTTTAAGTACATCAATAAGCGCTCCTGAAGTTGCCAAGAAGGGTCTTCCGAAGATCATTGGAATTGTGGCATCTTCCTCTATATCAAGGATGACAAAATCAGCAGGGATGATAAATTTGTCTACCTTTACCAGTATATCCTCAATGATGCCATAAGCTTGCTTTGAAGAGCGGTCAGCCAGTTGCACTATCGTCCTTGTGGGCTTCACTTCAGTAATCCCCAGCTCATTCATCATGGAGAGTGGCATGGCATTGATGCTAGCTCCAAGATCACATAAGACGTTATCTACTTCAACCTTGCCTATGGTGCATGGAATGCTAAAGCTCCCTGGATCCTTGAGCTTGGTAGGTAACTTCTTTTGGATAATGGCGTTGTATTCCTCTGTCAGAGTTATTGTCTCACATTCCTGAAACTTACGCTTTCTTGATAGTAGACCTTTCTTGAATTTAGCATAGTTGGGCATGTTCTCTAAAGCTACAGCAAAAGGAATGTTGATCTGCAACCTCCTGAATATGTCTAGAAACTTTGAATGTTGCTGCTTCTGAATCTCTTGCTTGAATCTCTGAGGATAAGGGATTCGAGCATATGGAGAGAGATCCAATGGCTTGTTCTGTCTTTCTAGAGCTTTCTTCTGCTCCCACTTGAATAGTTTCTTTTCGGCTTTTTCAGGATTTCTTTTGTCAACTTCAATAATATCCTTTGCCTTTTCTTTCTTCTCTTCCTCAACCGATGCTTCTTCATCCTTCTTCTTTTCTTCAGGCTGCTTCTCTATAGGATGAATCATTGTCCCACTTCTTGCGGTAATTGCATTGCAATGCTCTTTAGGATTAATGATAGTGTCTCCCGGGAAGGTACCCTTAGCTCTCTCAGCAAATTGCCTTGACAACTGGCCAATCTGAGTTTCAAGATTTCGGATAGAAGCTTCTTGATTCCGAATGAAGCTCTTGTTTCATCTCTGAAGGCATTTTCATTTTGAATATAGTCAGAGGTGGTCTTGGACAGCTGTGCAAAGGCTTTCTCCCAGTTTGAAGTGTTTCCTTGTGGTGAGGGCTGTTGTTGCACTGGAAGGGGAGGATTAAGTTGAAGGTTGGATTTGTAACTGAATCCTGGATGCTGATTCTGCTTCTTCCACCCTTGATTGTAGTTATTTCCAAACTGGTTCCTCTACGGATCATTCTGGTTCTTCTGATCATACCAGAGTTCGTTTACTTCAGCAGTTTCAGGTGCTCTCATAAAATCACAGTCTTCAGTAGCATGGGCATTTGCACATATCCCACAAGTAACTTGAGGATTATTAACATAAAAGACTTGAGAATTAGCAAATTGCTTTGTAAGCGCATCTAATTGTGCTTGTTGTTTCTTATTTATTTGCAATATTTGTTCATTCTGAGCCAACATCGCATTATAGCCGTCAAGCTTCATGATCCCCGCTCCCTTTTGTGAAAGTGGAGCATTATCGAACTCCTGAGAGGCTAAAGATTTCATCAATTCCAATGCTTCCTCTGGAGTTTTTATTTTCAATGATCCCCCTGCTGCAGCATTCACCAAGGTTCTTGTGCTCGACGTCATTCCTTGGAAGAAGATTTGTCCTTTCTCCCAAGCTTCAATGCCATGTTGGGGACACTTCCGGAGTAGTCCTTTAAACCTTTCTCATGCCTAGTGTAACACCCCGTGTATACCCGGTTTGTTATCATATTACAGTATTAAGCGAAGCTCAACTAAATGCGGAAGCTAACTTTTTCTTTTCAATTATGACATCATTATTATTAACCAAGTTTGTAACACCCCGTATATATCCGGTAGTGTTATCATTACATCGTATTAAGCGATGCTTAATTAAAAATGCGGAATATTCTTTTTCGTTCAATTATGACGTCATTATCAATTACCATCTTGATTACTTAATCAATTTCATAAAATAATGCTTGCATGTAAATTGCAACAAGACATCTACTGAAATACCTCAATATATAAATAAAGTGTGTATCTAAATCACGGAATTACATCTCGTAATCCGAACAATATCCTGATACATTATTACAACTCCAAATAAAACAAGGCATAAACAAGTCTATGTGTCATGGACAATATATTGTTGTTTGTCTCTAACGGCATTCCCTGATATTATTTGCCCTAGTCTTTTTCTCCGACATTTTGTTTGCCTCTCTCGTGGGTTGCTATTTACACATCCTCTTCACCTCCATCCAGTGGGTCGTCCTTTTCTACTCCTCTTTCTCCTTTGCGAAGGTCGTTGTCCAGATCTCCTTTTTCCTCTATATAGATTTCTCATAAAAGTAAGAATAGGTGACTGAATTTTTTTCTTTTGTAATATACTGTGTAAGATAAATTATTTTTTTTGTTTAGCCTTAGATTTTAATATCTATGTGGAAAAGATTCTATAGGTTATATACTATTAATTGGTTAAAATAGATGCACAAAGAAAGGCTGTGCAAATTCTTCACAGAAAAAAGGAATTTGGGAGTGATATAACACGAGGTAAATTTATCTTTAACAACTTCAAAACCGAGTTGAGGAAATTAACAAAAGGTTTTGTTAAAATTCATATATCAAAGAAATAAATAAAACTTTTAAAATATCTTTCTCAATCCTCAAAACAAAATAGTTTTAGGGTTGTTAAAGATTTATCTCAATAGCACCCTGTATTTATATTTTTGTAATGTTTGTAAAATAATGGATATAAGTTTTTAAGCCACACACTAGTAACTAGTGTGCGAAAAGGTAATATCGGCAGTATTACTCTTAATCGTCAAAGATGAATACGCAGATCGAGGTTAATTTCTCACAAAAATAAGAATTGATGGTTGAGTTTTTTTTTTTTTTTTTTTTAAATTAATCCAATTCTAATTATCTTTTTAAGGCGAGTTGGTTCTTTTCGGGCTTAAATTTTTTGAGTCAACTATGCAATTAATTTAAAGTATGGGCTGAATCAGAGATGAATATATTTAAATTTTTCCAAAAAATGATATGTGAGGATGAACTGAGATCCTTTTCTTTTTGGTTGAAGTTTTTTAACCACACATTCCAATGTCTATGTGGTAGAGAAAAAAAATGTTTGGCAAAACTCTTGATCGTTAAAGATAATTGCACATAAAAAGTTTATTCAGTAAACCCAAAGTTGCTATTTCTTTATAAAGACAAATAAGGGTAATCTAAGGTCACGTTCTAATCCGAATGCCCCAAGATTCGTCGAACGCAATGACAAGGTACTTGCAACAAAAACAAGTCTATATGGTTTGAATGGGGGTTTGAATAAAGTGTTTAAGCTTCCTCTAGTATTAAAATTTGAAATGAAATAAAGTCGCTGTGTTTATTTTTTAAATTGACAACAAATCAGTAAACCCAATCAAAATATATCAATATTTAAGCAGAAAGAAATAAACCAAAAAATTCACATAATAAATATTTATGTGATATCCAAGCTGGTTGGTATACTATCATGCACGGACACGGGACACGGGACACGACACGACACGACACGCCGATACGTTAATTCTAAAAAATGTCATATTTGGACACGTTGAGACACATTTTGATATTAAATAAAAAATTTAATATATAAAATATAATTTATATTTAATACATATAAGAGTCCATAATAAGTCATATAACCAATCAAATATTTAAATTTCATAACATAAATATAAATATAAATAATTTTTTGTACTTTGTTAATTTTTCATGTCAAATTCCATAACAGAAAAAAATTAATTTATAAATTATTTCATTTATATTTAGATAGCAAAATAAAATTAAAATTAAAAAAAAAATTTGTCCGAGCGTGTCTTAAAAAGTTGATCACGTGTCCGAAAAACGTATCAAAACGTGTCGGAGAGTTGACTGCGTGTCCCCAAATGTTGACCGCGTGTCGGACACATATCCAAACGTGTCGAAGCGTGTCTGTATCGAACACACGAACACGTGTCTGAGACGCAAAAAAAAAATTTCAAACCGCGTGTCCGTGTGCTTCGGTGTTGGTATATAGGTCCAAAAAATTCCACGTCAACAAAAATTTCACACCCATTCATGTCTTGATATTTGTCAAGCTAACCCCGATATATAGGTCCAAAATTCGGTGTCTTGCATGGGTGATTGAAGGTTCTGTTGTTTTGCTTTGTATTCCATGTTGACACGTCTTTTCGGTCAGAGAAGTATCTTTCAGAATCAGGCATAGGATGACTGGGTGTAGGTTTGGGTAGATCTAATTGGCTGAGTGTGCTTATTGGGCCGGACCGGTCTTGAGATTGATATATATATATATATATAGGCACAAATATCTTATAAATTGATTCTTTTACTATATTGATGTAGAATTCAAAATTATTGACCGAATCAATATGATTTTGAAAAAATTTATCCTAATAATGTAATTAAATGCTTGAGGCCATGTGCGTTTGTGCAGGGTGGATACATATTTGCCCAAGGATAAATTAATGCCTGCCACGTGACACACAAATTTAATTATTGGAAGTCGCCCATATTTTTATACGCCTAATGTGTATTTTGCTCATACGGCGAATATTAATTTTTCACCCATGTAAATGCACACCCATCTTTTACACAACTTGAACATGCACATACACATACATATAGAGGTGGTAAGGTAGGTAATATTCCTTGTCCTGTCTCCAACTTGCCCCGCCTTGGAAAGAAAGTGGGTTAAAATTTTTAACACATCTCCATCCGCTTCCAACTTATGATGCACCGATACTAATACGGGACATGGGACACGACACGACACGTTAATTTTAAAAAATGTTATATTTCGACACGTTGGAACATGTTTTAATATTAAATAAAATTTTTAATATATATAATATAATTTATATTTAACACATATAAGAGTCCATAATAAGTCATATAACCAATCAAATATTTAGATTTTATAACATAAATATAAATAAAAATAATTTTTCGTACTTTGTTAATTTTTCATGTCAAATTTCATAATAGAAAAAAAATTAATTTATAATTTTTTTTATATTTAGTTAATAAAACAAAATTAAGATTAAAAAAAAAACATGTCCGAGCGTTGACCACGTGTCGGAAAAAGTTGACCGCGTGTCGGAAAAATGTGTCGGAACGTATCGAAGAGTTAACCGCGGGTCCCCAAATGTTGATTGCGTGTCGAACGCATGTCCGAACGTGTCAGAGCGTGTCCGTGTCGGACGCAAATTTTGAAAATTTTAGCATGTCGAATCTGTCGATGCTTGCTTGCTTCCAACTAGGGGTGAAAGTGGGCTGGGCTGGGCCAAACTTTGCCCCGAAAAACCCAAGCCTACGTCAAAAATTTCCAATTTGGCCTGGCCCAAGCCTAGTATAAGTCTAACGGTTAGCCTGGTTTGGCCCGTTTATAAAAAAACAAATGGTCTGGCTTGGCCCGTTAGCCTGTTAATTTTTAACTTCCAAGCAGAACCATGAATCAACTTTACAAAGTACTCAAATTCAGTTGCTACACCAAAAATCATAATTTCAACGTCCAAACAGAATCATGAATCATAACAAAACTCATACAATATGCACTTAAGTCATTTTCGAAAGCAAAATGCTCAAACTAAATAACATATATTTCATCAGATCCAATAAACAAATCTATACTATGTAAATTAAAATAACTATATGAATCCAACAAACATATCATGATGCTTGTAGTAAGTATAACTCTCCCAAAAATCTTTTAATATATTCATATATACAATCTAACATGTTGAGATGTTGGTTCCTCCTATATAAGAAATAAAATAAGATTTAAAAAAAAAATATAATCAAATATAATTAAGTTATAAATAATTGCAATTGATTAAATTTATATCTTTTGTTTTTTCTTCAAGACATACTTACTCTATTTTATTTTATTTAAAATAAATAGTACAATATAGGCTGACCTGTGGCCTTATAGGCCCGGCCTTTTGAAAGTGGGCCTACGGCCTTTTTATTAAACATGATTTTTTAAGGCCCAAACCCGGCCTATTATGCAAAATATACTAGGTCAGATCTGGCCTGATGTAGGCCGAGCCGTAGGCTCCTATAGACCGACCCGACCCAGTTTCACCCCTACTTCCAACCCACCCGCTCGTTAACATTTTAAAATAGTGAAATATTTTCAAAAGTTATAATCTCTATAGATGTAAAAGGTGTTAAATAATATATAAAAAAAGGTGTTAAATAAAGATGAAAGAGGTATAAAAAAAATTATTAGTTAATTTTTTTTAGAAAATACAAAATAAAAAAATATTACCCACATGATGGGTTGGACATGTTTTGACCTGCCCTTAGCTGTACGAATTCAAAAGAATTGACAGTTTAAAAATCTCAACCAAACTTATAACTTGTGGGTTAAAAGGAGCAATCCGAGCATCTATTTTGTTATCTCGTTTTGAATTGAAAGATTAAAAATTATAATAATAAAAATTATTATAACCTTGAAATAAATTATAATTATAAAAACATCTTAATTTCAATTTCAAAATAATATCATTTTATGCTCAAATAACTCATTTGCAATCACAATTAAGAACCCATAAACTATTCACAATCACATTAATTTAATAAAAACATTTAGTATATGCGTCAAATAGGTTAAAAAGACCCATATAGCCTTCCCGTGATTGGCTATATAATACATGGTACACACAATGGCATTTGGACACAGAATATTCTTGAATAATACATCGTCCTTCAACAGATACCAAAACGTGGCTGCATCCTCAAACTCAAATTTCTGATTTTTTTTTTTTTTCACGGTTTACTTTACTACATACGTTGATGTTTTTCTCTGGCTCTTGTTTGAACACATAAAACTGACAATTTTTCTACACATACTAAATTGATGTTCGATGTGGATCTTCAAAATCAATTTTTTTCCCCTTAAAAAGTATATTGTTATTGAACAAATTCAAAAATACTTATACCATAAATTTAATTAAGAAAAAACAAAAATGACATCAGAAAAAGAATGACCCACCGTTTGAGTTCATATTATCCTTTTTATCAAATGTCCGAAGCAAGAAGCATGAGTCACAGATTTCCTTCTAATCAGTTTCTCTCTCCAAGTGATAAGAAACCAAGGACAGTAGTCCTATGTGGTCTCTTAGGATCCACTCATTCAACTCTAACTTGTACTGCGAGTTTCCACTTCAAACTTGCGAGCCAGAAAGGCCCTTGTTTGTTTTTTTCTTTTCTATAGAAACTTTCAACTCAACTTCGCTTCTTCTTCCTCCTCCAATGTCTGCAACTTGCTGATGGGTCTCTTCTTAACGTGAAATTGAGCTCATTTCCCATCTGGGTTTTGTGATTTGGGACAGAATGATGCCTTTGACAAGCAAAAGCATTGATTTTGCTGGAAAAAATTTGGTTTCTTGTGGCTGTTCATCCAATGCTTCTTTTGACCGTTACACGGTGAGGAATTATGCAAAGGTGGATTCTAAAGGGTGTGGCAGAGAACATGGAACTCGTAAATTGATTTGTTGTAAGAGAAGGAGCACGAAATGTCGGGTTTCTTCTATGAAGACTGCAGAGCCTACGGTTGATGGTATAAGATTTTTTTCAATAGAAGTGTGTAGTAGAGTTGCTTCATGTTTCTAGTTTGAATGACTAAGTAACATAGGTATTGGTTATTGCAGTGGAACTAGATATTAAAAGTTTTGATTTTGTTTTTGCATAGGTGGAACTCAAGCAATTAAAGGTCTTACAGGAGGATTGGACTTGAAGAGTTATTCAGAAACCCCCATTTCCCCTACTCGGTTGTTTGAAGTGGTTGCTGATGATCTGCAAACCCTTAATAAAAATCTTCAGTCGGTAAGTGATGGTTTTGGGATTCATATTTTGTGCTGTTTTACTAACTATTGTGATTGACTTATAATTGTTCCTGTCCCATCTGGTGAATTCTTGTGTTGTTTCACCATTACTGATATTGTATTCACCAGACCAAAAAAAAATGTGGAAGTTTGAATGGGATAAAATATGGGGCATATGCTGTTGAATGATATTCAATGTTCAGTGATTGGACATATGACTTTCTTTGCTCATTGTTGTTGTTAACTTTTACTGAATCCCTCATTTCAGTTTTGTTTGATAACATCATAATTCTTTGTCTCTTGATACAAGTTTACAAATTATAATATTTCAGGATTAATTATTAAATTTAAATTAGTTTTAATGAGATTGAATGATTTTTTTGAATGCCATTCTTATTTGTTTTTACTGTGACTGAAATCCCTACCTACTTATTAGGCCTCATTGCATTGGATGCTTATTTGTTTCCTAGTTTTGTGGTTCTATACTTCAGTAGACCTTTTTTTGTAAGAAAGTTGATCCAGTAAATTGGTGCCAAATCCTTATCATTCTCATTGCCTGCAGAACCTTCTTGCCTTTTAGCTTCTTTTACTTTGCGAACAGTGATGATTAGATTTTTTGTGCCTAACTTTTAATGTATCTAATGAAGATGCTTTCATAGATTGTAGGTGCAGAAAATCCAGTTTTAATGTCAGCAGCTGAGCAGATCTTTAGTGCTGGTGGGAAGAGGATGAGACCAGCTCTGGTTTTCTTGGTGTCAAGGGCAACAGCAGAGCTACTTGGCTTGAAGTAAGTATAGAATTCTCTCTTTCTCTCTCTCACACGCGCGCACACAAGTTCTTTGCCTGTCTTGAAAATTCTATATATATGACAATAAAAAGTTGAAAGCTTCATCTTGAAATGCATGACTCCAGGGAACTTACTGTAAAGCATCGGCGTTTAGCAGAGATAATTGAAATGATTCATACTGCAAGTTTGATACACGATGATGTATTAGATGAGAGTGACCTACGAAGAGGTAGGCTTGTTATCCTAGTTTAGAAATACCCATTTAATTTTCCTGACATCTCTTTAGATTTCTGATTATGTATCTTATTTGGCAAGATGCATGCTATGAAGCAATTTTGCTCATACAGTAAGGTTGTTTTGATTTTAAGCTGTATGAGCAAAATTATGTATCTCATATGCTGCTGTCAGCTCCGCTAAAAGTCGCAGTTCCTTTTGTACCGGATAATTATGTTATGATTTAATTGATTAATAATTTCCTTCACACCTCATGTTTGTGTCAAAGCAGTGAAGCTTGGGCCTTGCATCATGTTTGGGATTTGTTTCAGGATATTCTTTGTTCTGGTCCAAAACTTTGTTACTTATCGATGATGATTTGTTATCCATGTGATAATAGCACACATGAATTTCAACTCGGAAAAATATCTCTAAAAAGGGGAGACAAAGAGAAGGACAAAATAAAAGAGAGAACCAAAATAGATTCTGATACTGAAAGAGGAAAAAAGTGTACCATTAGAAGCTTCTTCAGTTTTTATGATGTCTTGGAAAGGACCTGCTATACATGTTAATGAAGAATAAAAGATTCAATCTATGTCATTTTAGCATCTATCATCTGATGATATTATACCTGCTAGGGTCCCTCCACCCACCTAAACAAGGAAATCAAATAAAATGGATAAAAGAATATAGCTGCGCTATGACAACCAAAAAGTGTAGATTCAGTGCTTCATTATTATTGGCAGCATGGAGTATATCTTTCTAAGCAATTAGAGCTGACCTAAATAGCATTGGATGATGCAAACTCTGGTAAAATGGCTCCTTTTGATTGGCTGTGCCTGCTAGTGCCATTCTATAGAATAGAATTGACAATTGAGAACTTAAAGAGAATAGGTTTCTCAATACGTTTGTGTCCTAATGAAATTGTTTGTAATTCCTTTTAAGGGAACTTATGCAAAAACTGAAAAAGTAATAGGTTCGGCAAATATTCACATTGGATAGATCTTAAAATATCTTGCTTGTATTGAACTTCAATATTTCCGTGCCACTCCTAATACATTCATGTTGTTCTGTATGGGCATCCCTTGTTGTCTTCTGACTTCTGTAATAGAACCCTTAAGATTGCATAATTGATAATTGAACATGATTGCTCTTTGTATGAATTCTTACATGTCCGTGTTAGGTATTAGGCATTTAGGCCAAAGCTACACATCACCTGCTTAAGGAGTGTTGACATTTTTGTTACAGTTGTAAGAAGGCTTTTTGAGTTCATACTGTAACATACGATTTCCTGGTTTTCTTCTTTTATAATTCCTCTGCTGGCTTTGTTTTCCCTAAATTTTAACTCAATGTGATTGCTATGCATTAATAGGGAAGAAAACTGTTCATCAACTGTTTGGAACAAGAGTGGCAGTGCTGGCTGGAGACTTCATGTTTGCACAGTCATCATGGTATCTAGCCAACCTTGAAAATATTGAAGTGATTAAACTTATCAGCCAGGTGAGGTCCATCTTACCATACCTCTTTAAGACATCTTCATCTTTCACTTGCATGCTTAAAATCATTATTCTATAAGTAATTGATGCACTTGAAGCCAGGTGGTTAAATCATTATTTCATTCGGTATGAAGAGATGTATAATTCCATTTTCTGAAGTTTTTTGGCATCACTATTTGGTGCTGTTACAGGTGATCAAAGATTTTGCAAGTGGGGAAATAAAGCAGGCTTCTAGCTTGTTTGATTGTGATGTTCAACTAGACGAGTACCTAATTAAGAGTTATTATAAGACAGCCTCCTTGATCGCGGCCAGTACAAAAGGAGCTGCAATTTTTAGTGGTGCTGACAGCAGCATCACTGAGAAAATGTATGAATATGGGAAGAATCTTGGTCTATCCTTCCAAGTTGTTGATGACATATTGGATTTCACACAATCCGCGGAGCAACTAGGAAAACCTGCTGGCACTGACCTTGCCAAAGGTAACCTTACTGCACCAGTAATATATGCATTGGAGAAAGAACCAAAATTGAGGGATATCATTGAGTCTGAATTTACCGAGATTAATTCCCTTGATGAAGCCATCAAGTTGGTCAAGAGTTGTGGAGGCATTGAAAGAGCACAAGAGTTGGCAAAAGAGAAAGCTGATCTTGCTATTCAAAATCTCCAATGCCTTCCTCAGAGTGTGTTTCGTTTAGCTCTTGAGGATATGGTGGCATATAATCTTCAACGGATTGCATAAGCTTTGGTGCATGCTGAGGACACAATATTGAGAAAATCAGTAAAAAAAAAATTCTTTGGTCCTAATATAAGGATGAGAGAGCCTTGACATTTGAACTTTTGTCATTTCAAGAATTTTCAGCAAATCCATCAAATGCCTTCCCCCTGAGCTACTTCTGGGGTGCTAATTATAGACATTGAAGGACAAAGCAAATGCACATTCTCATCAGTTGTTATGTTTGCAGTTTCCTGCTAATTAAAGTACAAGAAACATAATATATTCCATTACTGTATCAATACACGTCTGCAATATATTCTTTTCCCCATTTTGCTTCTCTGGGATGTTAAAAACATTAAGAGAATGAAAAGTGTAATTGTTATTTCTTTTTTTACCTGTTTCCTTTTCTATTGTGTTTTCTGAAGGTGGTATTGATGCACTTGAGTCACCATAAGTCATCATAGTTGTCATTTAGAGGGGTTTTAAGGCCTTTTATGAATTTTAATAATTGCAGACGTTTCAGTTTGCATGACTTTATGTTTGGTTTATGATTATTTTTGTTTTGAGTCAGTTTTATTTCTGTTTTGTATTAGTTTTATTTCTGTTTTGTGTCAGTTTTAAGACCATTGATAGTCCTTTATTGTTGTTTATTTTCTGTATTGCCTGATTAAAAAGGCTTGTAGAAGGATGTGAAAGGAGGGACTTCTGATTGTTGAAGAATAATAATATAACAGAAAACTTTTGCATTTTCCTGAAAGCCTATTTTCCCTATAATTCTGCATCATTTGGTATCAAAGCCTGGTTCATTAGTCGCATGAAGGTGCTTGGTGCATTACTCAACCCAAATGGCATCACCATCCATTCATACAAATCATCTCTTGTTTTGAAGGCTGTTTTCCACTCATCTCCAGGCCTAACTCTGATATGGTGATAGCCACTAAGCAAGTCTATTTTAGAAAAAATAGTTGCGCCATGAAGTTGGTCAATCAGATAATCAAAACGTGGAATAGGAAAACGATACTTGATGGTGATTCTGTTAACAGCTCTGTTGTCAATGCACATTCGCCATGACCCATCCTTCTTGGGAACCAATAATGCTGGTACTGCACAAGGACTCAAGCTTTCGCGGGCCGCCTTTTTTTTTTAGCAATTCTTGTACCTGCTTCTGCAACTCAGCATGTTCTTTGGGACTCATTCTGTAAGCCGCCTTATTTGGAATGGCTGCTCCAGGAACAAAGTCTATGCAATGCTGAATATCTCTCATAGGCGGTAATATTGGTGGCATCTCCTCTGGCATTACATCAGCGAATTTTGTAAGTAAAGGTTCAATCTCCAAGAGAATATGTGGACCATTATTGTTTCCTTTTATCACCACTAGTGCAAATATCTCAGTTGCACCAATGACTTCTTCTAAAAATTCTGCCTTGGACAACATGGAATTCTTCGCATCCTTCCTCCAATCTGAAAGTGCTAGTGTAATAAGGTGGCCATCCTTCTTAAAGGTGGAAGTATTTTTGAAACCATCATGTTTTGTCTTCCTATCAAACTGCCATGGCCTGCCTAATAAAATGTGACAAGCATCCATAGGAATGACATCGCACCATACTTCATCTGAATATCTTTTCCCAATTGAAAAACACACTAGGCATCTTTTGGTTACTTTCACCTCATTCCCTTTTTTTAGCCAAGACAGCTTGTACGGTTGTGGGTGTTCTTCTGTTTTCAGCCCCAATTTTTCTACCATAGTGGTAGAAACCACGTTTTCACAACTCCCTCCTTCTATAATCACACTGCATACTTTTCCCCTGTTGGTGCACTTGGTGTGGAAAATATTGTGTCGAAGCCATGTTTCATCATTCACCATATCCACTTTCAAGACCCTCCGAATGACTAGTGATTCTTCGATATCAGCATAGACACTCTCCACCTCTTTAGATTCTGCTTCTTCTTGTTCATCTACATTGTCATAGATTGGTTCTTCATCAAAAATTGGAGCCTCTGCAAATGTCACAATCTGTTTATTTGGACAATCTGCAGCAAAATGTCCAATTCCTTGGCAGTTGAAACACCTCTTCCCTGTACTACCTCCTTTGATCGACCCTTCCTTGTTGGGAATATTTTTTTGAGGCATAGAACTCCTTTCAGCAGGTGAAGTTGCTGATGAACTTACTAATTTAGCTCCGAATTCCTTTCTAGGAATCTTGATTGAAACTTCGAATTGTCACCCTTTCTTTTACATTGTCCTTCCACCTTCAAGGACAGTTTGATCACATCTTCATAAGACCAATACTGTAGTAGGTACACAACATCAGAAATTTCATCCCGTAATCCACCTAAATATCGAGCAATCACTTGTTCATCTTCTTCGACCATGTCACAACGCATTCGAAGACGATCAAATTCAGTGGTGTATTGTTCCACCGTAAGGTCACGTTGCCTGAAATTGTGATACTCAATAAAGGCCTCTTGTCTGTATTGAGCAGGCAAAAATTTGTGCTGCAACAATTTCTTCATCTTGTCCCATCTTTGAATCTTAGAATTTCCGTCTCTTATTCTTTGTTTCTTGACATGTTCCCACCAGATTGAGGCATGCTTCCTCAATTTGATTGCCACTAATTTCACCTTTTGCTCATCTGTGAGGTTTTTTAAATCAAAGACCCTCTCGACGGTGTGTAACCAGTCGATGAATACATCAGGGTGAGTTGATCCCTCAAATTTTGGAATCTCGATCTTCATCTCAAAAATAGATGTGAAGGGTTGATCACCGGTTCGACCTCTCCTTGGTATTTCGCGGTTCCAAAATGGATTTTCGTCCTCCTCTTCCTCTTGAGATGACAGTTCAGATTCTTGTCTCCCTTCTGACCCGTGCAACTGTGCCTCTGCAAGCAGTTGTTCGATTTCTTGGATCCATCTGTCCTTTTCCTCAATTTCAGCATCTCTCGCATCAGTGTAATAATCGTCTTTGGTAGGTTGACCGCGTCCTCTGCCGCCACGACCTCTTCGTCCACGACCATGACCATAACCTCCGTGATTTTCCTGCTCAGCCATCTTTAAGGCAACCTGAGCTTTGATACCAAACGTGGAATATGAAAACGATACTTGATGGTGATTCTATTAACAGCTCTGCTGTCAATGCACATTCCATGACCCATCCTTCTTGGGAACCAATAATGCTGGTACTGCACAAGGACCTAAGCTTTCGCAGATCGCCCCTTTTTTTAGCAATTCTTGTACCTGCTTCTGCAACTCAGCATGTTCTTTGGGACTCATTTTGTAAGCCGCCTTATTTGGAATGGCTGCTCCAGTAACAAAGTCTATATAATGCTGAATATCTCACATAGGCGTTAATATTGGTGGCATCTCCTCTAGCATTACAAAATCTATGCAATCCTTTATATGCCACTACCAATTCCAATCGCTCCTTGGGAAGATATTAGCCTTGATTTTGTACTTGGCCTACCGAGAACACAGCACAACAAAGATTCTGTTATGGTGGTAGTAGATAGGTTCTCTAAGATGGCACATTTTATTCCTTGCAATAAGACTTTTGATGCTTCGCAGGTTGTTAAATTATTTTTGCAGGAAATAGTCAAACTTCATGGTGTCCCAAAAACAATTACATCAGATAGAGATGTGAAGTTTGTGAGTCACTTTTGGCGTACTCTATGGCGACTAATGGGGACCAAATTGCAGTTCAGTTCTTCACACCACCCGCAGACAGAAGGTCAAACATAAGCAGTAAATAGGAGCTTAGGTAACTTGCTGAGGAGCTTAATAGGAAACTGTAAGAACTCGCACCGTTAATTAAGGAATTTAATTAATTAATATTGAGAAAATAGGAAATGATTTCATAATTGACCCTAATAATTACTATGAGGCTTAAATAAATATAGTAAGAGGTTAATAATGTTGAAAGTCGTTTTTCGAAAGAAAAGTGCAGATACCGGTTCTGCTAGTCGGTATAAATGTGTAGCGAAAAAGTATTCCGGAAAATTATAATGAGTGCATGATAATTACTAGAATATTATATAGGACTTGTAAAACGAGTTTGAAGTTAAAATAATGAGAACTGATGCCAGAACTGATACTGGCTTTGGAAAAGCGCGTACCGGAAAGGTGCTCAGAAAAATATGATAAAAATATGATAATTTTTGTAAAATTGAGTAGGTTAAGAATCTTAAGTTTGAGATTAAAATGCTAAGCGTAGCTATTCTTGCTTATACTGTGTGAATTAACTTATTGTGCTTATAAATAGGCTTGTCACAAAAACCTAGGCTGATTTGGTTGCCTTTCTACGTGAGTATTTTGTGTCTTTTAGCATCCTTTGTGCCTCCTCCATTGTCACCCTCATTGTCTTCACTTAAAACCTCCAAGTTATCACCTTTGCTCCTTGTTCCTTCACCATTTTAGTGTGGGTGAGTGAGAGCAAGCTTGTGAGTGAGTGTGGTCTCACTTTCTGAGTGTGTGAGGTTGTTGTTTGGGGTTCTAAGGAGCTGTGTTTCTGAGTTGTGTGAGTGAGGCCTTTGTCTTGCCATTTTGAGCTCCAAGTTGTGAGCTTTGTGGAGAAAGACACCATCTTGAGGTGTCAAATTTGTGGACCCTTGAGTGCTGTGTTGAGGGACTATGTTGGTAGCTCCAAGGAGGAGTCTTTTTCTGAGTTTTCAGAGTTGAGGTATACCATGATCATAGCCTTTGTCATTTTGAGGGTTTAAGCTTGTTTAATCCATTAAAAAGAGGAACTTTAACCATTTGAGTAAAGGAAGGTGTTTTTGGGTTCATAACATGTTGATGATCATCTGTTTAGGGAGTCATTGGACTCCCAATCGCTTTTGGACCTTTAAATTGGGATTATGCAAAAGTTGGCTCGAATTTCTGCATTTTGTCGAGTGAGTATTCGAATACTTTTCGTGGTAGTTAAATACTCCTTGCTGGAGTATTGGAATACTTTTCTGGGAAGAAAAGTATTCGGATACCTTTGAAGAAGTATTCGAATACTGGAAAGTATTCGAATACAGTGAGGTTGGGTATTCGAATACTAAGGTATTCGAATACTGGGGGGAGAAGTATTCGGATACTTTAATGAAAGTAGTCGAATACTTTCTGGAGAGCTGGAGTATTCGAATACTACTCGTGGAGTATTCGAATACTTCCTGCAGAAACAACATATAATGAGTTAAAATGAGTAAGAAAGACCTAATCACTTAATGTAATCTGAGCTATGATTATTGATGATTAATTATGGCATGGGCAGATTGTGATGGTGCTATTTGTGGGCCTTGAGCTTGTGTGGACTCTTGGCATTGGATAGTAGCTTGCAAGGTAAGCTTTCGTGTCCTCGGTTTAGCCATTGTTTGGTTCCACCATGTCTCATGGGGAGATGGTTATATG